GAATTTTTTATTTAATAGTTAATATTTTATAATTTAAATTATAAATTATTATACTCATATTTATTTATTAGGAATTTGTTTATATTTTTGATTGGTAACATTACTAACATACTTGGTATTGGAAAAGGTTAAACCCCCATTTTAGTCCCTCAATTATGGTACGGATCCCTTATTTTGTTCCTTAACTCAATAAATTCCTGATTTGGTCCCTATTGATTACAATAGTCATTTGTTTGTTTTCTTAGTTTGACTCTATAAAATATAATTACATGATAGATTGGTTGTTCGACTATCTTTTTTGAGTTTTTTTTTTTTTGAGTTGAGGGACCAAATCAGGGATTTATTGAGTTAAGGGACCAAATCGAGTTGAGGGACCAAAATGGGGGTATAACCTTTGGAAAATTGGATGGGGACAATTTCGTGTCTTCTTTGGTGTCTTTGGTCTGAAATATGAGCTAGCTTTGCTGCCATGCATAGTGAATATTTAAATATAACCTATGTCATTTCTTGCTTCTATGCAAAGTAATTTCGTTTCTTCTTGCTCTATAAAGGAACCATATCTGGCACTGCCTCCTTCTATGCAAAATTCAAAAGAATACACCGCAGTAAGGTATTAGCAATATGGAAGTTATCACCATCATCTCAGCACAATTGAATCTTACTGCTATTCACAAGGGTGAGATCAGCGCCTCTAAAGAAGTCAGAAAACATTTCAAATTTACAGAAGGTTCCACTACCGTAGAGTTTGAGGCCAGCGCCGAGCTTGGAGACAGGTACACGCTCAAAGCCAAGAGAAGAATGGAAGAAAAGTATCCTAAAGAAGCTATTGCTGGCTTGAAAACATACATCCGGGCTAAAGGCTTGGTGCCAGGGGATAGAATTACCATCTCCAAGGTGGGAAATGAAGTTAAAGTGTTTGGCTCAGTATTCCGTCCCCCACTTTACTATATCCACTATGAGAAGGCAGCCCAAGGAGGTGGAAATTTTGCTGGTTCCGGAGCAGGTGAGAACTGATGATGATTGGAAGCCAACTATTTATCTGCAGTCTTGTGTGTCTACATGTTATCAGTTAGGAATGCCTGGCTTTAATAAGTTGTGTTCTAGCTAGTAGCTAGGCTAGCGTCGGTATCCTTTTGTTGTTCTTATCTTATATATGTAGTCCTGTTGCTTGTGTTGTTGCATATCACATAATAAGTAGTGAATCTGTGTTTTTATTTTTATTTTTTTATTCCCTGATGGCTGGTTCATGAATTACTTCTATTCCATTGCAATAAGAGTACTGGTGATAATTAATTCCAATTGAAAACAGGGTTATTTTTTAGACTGTATACCAGTCAAAGTCAAAGCCCTCAAACACCAATTTGATTCTTTGGGAGTTCTCCACAAACACTAAGTAAAACCTAGATATGATCTAATTAAGAAAAATACAGAAAAGCTAAAATCTGAACGGGCCAATGGGGATCAGGCCCTTTGACCGTACATCATCTGACGACTCCGTAAAATCGGCCATGGGGTTGAACAAGTGGGTTTGGGTTTCGGAATTGCACCAAACAAATTTGAGGGCTGAGATCTCGGAAAGGTGTCAGTTGGGAAAAGTATGTGGCGGGAAACGGTGAGAAAGATGGAAGTTAAGGCATTGGACCCAAAATTTCTCACACCAGTAGACAACTTGATCTCAACCGGCGGGCAAGTGAGGAGGCGAAAAGGCCATGGGTTAGTTTAATTGACGATAATTCAAAGATCAGAGAGGGAGAGAGAGAGAGATCTTCTCGATCTCTGTCGGCGGTCAAGTCCTCTCGATCTCTGCCCACGGGGAAGTTTGGAGTCGGAAGGCCATGGGTTAGTTAATTGATGAAAATTCAAAGATCAGGGAGAGACAATAAAGGATATGCTTGAGGATTTTTTGGTAAATGTCATTGGGGATATACTGTGCATTAACTTGCTGCTTTTGTGAAGAATAATGATTGTAATGAATGGACAAGAATAATGATTGTAAAAACTTTAGGTGCGTTTGATTCTACAAAAATAAAAGGAGAAGAATAATGATTTTACTTCTATTTTTTGAAATTTCAAGAGAAGATAGAATTTTGGGTGTTTGTGTGAATGTTTGTTTTTTATATAAATTAACTAGTAATTTAAATAGCCACAACAAAATAAAAAATTAGCTCAATGAAAATAGGGATCTATTGCACAACTTTCATTACACCATCATACAAAGACAAATATAGTCCTACCAAAATATAAACCAAGAAACCTATTAACCCTTCCAAAACAAAAGAGTAGCAAAACTACCTAAAAACTAAGCCAGGACAAATAATAGTAAAGGGTCTTTTTTTACATCTTTTTGCAGCTAGTAGCATCGCCAACGTGAATTGGTGGTGGTGAGATTGCAACCTTAACAGACAGACACGCAAACTTGGCCTTCTTACGTATCCCAATGCTCAGCTTGAAAATGTGCAGGTAAAATTGAGTTACGGCAAGAGAACTGATTTGTTTAAAAAGTTGATAATGTAGGGAGTTTAGTGTTTGACAACGCGGTTTTCGGATGTGACCCCGTTGCATGTGCTCATTCTAAGAAAGAAATTGCATTGCATAAAACAAACGAAAGAAAAAAGAAAAGAACTTGTACATCCATTTGGCAACCCTAGTGTCAATGCATCGAAGTAATTAATTTTTATATGTCAACGATAAAAAAAAAAA